ACATGCTATCCACTATCGGCAGGGGCCATTGCAAATGACCATTGATAACATTATCACTGTCACCAGATTCATTTAATAAGCATTCCCATTTCAGCACGTCCACTCTCACATCATTCTCATTTTGCCTGGTAAAGCAGCAGAAAATCCTGTGTCAAAATGTAGAGTGGTTCAACGTATGCAAAATGTGCTAAGCATATACAATGTCTGCTTGAGAAAAAATACAGGATACCAGCCAAAAGTGTATCAACTTTACATTTGTTGTGACCAGCTCTCTTCTGATTTTCCCTCAGCAAATAAAATCTGTTAACCAATATTCCCTTCTCAGCAGCTCTCTGAAATTGGGCCAAGGATGTATTTCTTAGAGTTTTCAGATGAATTATGGAACTAAGGCAAGAGTATGGAAGTCACCTGACAATGCTGTTACAGTCGCCCTCTTTGTTGCATTTGACGCATGTCCCCTTTGCCTCTCTGACTGGAAGCTTGCGTTGGGTCGTCCGCTCGCGTTTTGCTTTTGGCGTCTCATTCTGTCAAATCAAGTAACAGTGCAATTTAGTATGAGACTAATAAGATACTTACACACGCGGGCTTTGTTCATCATTTTATCCTCCTAATCCTCTTATCTCATCACTGTTAACATGGCTAGATAATGCACTATCCAGGCAATTCAAAAACACAGAAATCCATAGCTCTGTCTGTCTCTTGGCCAGTGGTCTTACCTCAGCATTGACTGAGGTACCACATTCTTCTTCGCCCTCCTCCTTGGTCACTTTCAGTTTCCGTTTCAGTCCCCTCCGGCCTTTCCGCTTCCCCCTGGAGGCCACCTGAGGGTTTTGGGAAAGAAAAAAATTGCTCCATTTAAGGGGAAAAAACACCAAAAGGTCAATGAAAGTGGCAAACATTGCAATCCTGAAATGGGGGAAATTCTCTTGCATAACACTACATCAGCAATGCATCAGAGTTGCTAACTCCTTGCAGATTACTTAGTACAAAAAAATGCCATCTCTAAACTACTTTTACTGGTCCAATAAAAAAATAACCACCTTGTGAAACTGGACTTGAAATATTAGTTTTACATCAAATC